AATAAACTTGGCTTATAATCGCATGCTCTATTTTTTACCGAAATAAAAACAATCTTATGTTGTGGGAATCAAAACCCACACAACTAAATTTGGCTAGGAATTTAAAGGGAACTGAAACTTCTAAGAACAAAACCACGAAAACACAGAGAACTAATGTGGTTTTTATTGCTGTTTTGTAAGCGTTTTCTTACAAAAGTTCTAGAGCAAAAAGACAAGTGTTTTGCTATTGACGTGCATATTATTTATGCAAGTTTTATTATCAATAAGATTTAGTTCTCATCCTTACCTTCTCATCCTCTAGACAATGCTTGCTAATAGCCGTTTTTCCAATGTCCATCTATCTCACGCCCTTTAAATCCTTCCTGTGGCTCTACATCAGTTCCGCAACACGCAATCCTCACCAATCTGAAGTTCTCTTTCCTTAACTACAAATGTTTTTTATTAGTGTTTTTAAGGATGGTGAAGAATTGCTTCTTTGTGGTGGTTTATGTCAAGCCTGCAGATTCAGAAGATTATTGAGGTTGATCACATCTTGTTTATCATGTTTGTCTGAAAATTTCATAGTATTTGACAGGTTTGAGGTTGAGGATTGAGCGAACAACAGTTAGGATTATGAACCAGCTTTTCCATCAACATATTTTTTATACAATGGCTAGGTGATGACCCAATAAACTGTTAGAGATCCCAATTCTAGGACAATCAATTGTTCAAGAACACATAAGAACAAGAACACAATTTACTTTACTTCAATATTTTTATCTTCATAACTTTTTCTTAGAACATTTGTGACTTTTAAATACACAAAGAAACTAAGAAAGAGTTATGGATCCTACAAACTAGGGCAATGGGGTATTGGAGAAAAGGAAAATACACTTCAATAATTCTAAGAAATGATTATGCAATAAACCATCTTGGTCTTGTTGATCCAATCGTGCCAGTGGTTTTCGTCGGTCATCATAAACATTGGTTCAATAATTCATGATAAGATTTTACCTTCCCTAGTTTACGGTTTAAGTTTCCGGGGATATTGGGTTTTACGCCGGCTTTTCTTTCATAGATATCTTTCCATCCTTGGTTTTTACAATTTTATTCCACTGAAAAAAAGAGAGTATATGTTCATACGTAATAGACTACTACCCTAAGCTGCATGGAATGAAAAACGGGTACGTAGAAACCAAACGTTAGAAAATACGGAAACGAGTTAAAAAAAGAAAAACGGAAATGTT